AGTTGAAGCCGGTGGCAAAATTCATACTGACTTCAAGGAGGATACTTAATAACAGGAGCAAGTCTAAATTCTTGCATATCAAACCAAAAATTTGCTTCCGCACTTAATTTTCTGAATGCCAAAACATTGTAATCCCACAGGCTTCTTTTTAATAGTCCAGTTTTGCTTTTTCTGTTGCTGATGCTTTGCTTTTAAGTGTCATAAAGTGATTTTATTTGAATTGTATTAAATTGTTTGGAATATGAAATCTGAGATACGTTATGATTTCTGTTCTTTCATAGAGGGAAAAATGTGAGGCTTTAAATTAATCTCTTACTTTATTTATAAGTCCAAGCTCCTGCCTGTTCTCTAATAGCTGTAGTTTGATTTTAGTGGCACTATTCATTTACTTACGAGTCATCACTGTAGTTGTGGTGCTTCTAGACAATACCACAAAGACTTGATTTAAATGCGATAGTAGTACTGTTTAAATGTGTATTGCAAAAATTTACAAATAAATGTGTAACTGAAAGGAATCATTGCATATGAGATTGCCTGGTATAAATATTTGTTGTTTAGTTTTCAACATCAGGACACAAAATTTCACATCCTTTTTAATTTACTTCCCAATTTTGTGTCTAATTACATTCTTACAATGAAAATGAGTGCAGCACATACCAAAAAGATTTCAGTTCCAAAACAGCAGCAAGTCCCACAATATATGTAAGCACCTGCTTCTGCTGAACAGATCTATACAGATCTGGATTTTTAATCCTGACCTGGTAAAACACTGCGTATGATCAGTGCTAGAGGTGAATATCAACAACTGCAGTATGAAAACGTGAAATCTGTTAGTCGTCACAGAAAAATATGTCAGCAAAGGACCTCAGAGAGCTGGTAGTCCACCCATTTGCATTACAGCAGGATAGAATGTTGTCAAGCCATTAAAGAAATATGTTTAATTTCTTCATTATCACTAAAAATAGGAGATTCTGAAATCCCCCAGCTTCAATAGTTCACTATCCTTTGTTACGATATCGCTTCTCCTCATACGCAATTTAAAATTTCTTTGCTGAAGATTAAGCCTATTTCTTGTCATATCCATAGTAGTCATGGAGAACAATATCTTACTGGTGTCTTAACAATGTTTTATGTACTGGAAAACCTGTAATCCTAATTTTTATAGACTAAAATATCCCAGGATCCTCCTCGGTGGTCCTTTCCACATTCTTGATGCAGTCCGCTGGCTCTCCCCTCTTCAGTTTATTTCTAAGCCAGGATCACTACCTCTTCAGTCTGACACAACACGCTTAGTCTTAAGCAATCCCACAGTGAGAATTATCACTTTGGTAACTGCAGTTTCTGTTGAAGGGTGTTTGTGATCTGCCACTATTCCCTGGTTCTTTTCTGAAAATCTGCAGTCTGGTTATTTTTTCTGTGTTGTGGTTATGTGTTTGGCTTCTTCCTTTTGTTTGTGTTTGCCTTTGCAGTATTTCAGGTTTTTTTGGTTTCAGACTGTTTTTCCATTTTAGCAGGACAGTTTTAATTCTGATCCTATTTTCCAAAGACTTTGCAGCCCTTCTTTCTGTCCAGTGTTCAAATCTTTAGTTTAGTACCCGGCCTAGGACGGCACAGTGTAATCTCCCCGTGAAGTTTCCTTTCAGTAAAGCATTGATGGTATCTCTTTTGAAGTAACTTCTCAGATGATTGTGCACTTACCTTATCTATGCAGTACTTCCATTGCTTACTGAAATACCAAGACAGTACTTCCACACATCCACTGAGTAAGTTACTCTGTCAGAGGAAGTTAAATTCATTTGACATGAGTTCCTCTTGCCACTTCTATTTTGGCTTGTTTTTATTTTGAGGATTGGTAGGTGAGTTGTAATCTCTTGCTTATCCTTTAGGCCCTTATTGTTGGATAATTTATTCCAGGATAAATTGGATAAATTATTGTTGGATCAATTGTTGGATAATTTAGTCCTGAATATTTCTGGTAATTTGGGTTAGACTGATTGGTCTAAAATTTTCTAGCTCCTTTTCATCCTGGTACAAAATAGGTCTGATGTTTGCAACCTGCCAGTCCTCTGGAATGATACTTGTTTGCCCTTAGTTCTTCAGCATGCTCACTAATGCTTCCAACCCTCCAAAACATATTCTGTGAACATGGGCTTTTCACATCAACTACTTTAGATCTGCTCTCTTTGTACATCAGTCCTCACTAATGCAGAGGTGGCCTTAGCTGCTTCCCAAAGGGAAGGACTGCAGACCTGTAGCAGAGGAGCAAATGGGGGGGGGGGGGGGGGGGGGGGGGGGGGTGTGTGGGGGGGGGGGTGGTTATTTTTTGTTGAGGGATCTGAGCACCAAAATATTCTCCAAACAGGTATAGCTTTTCTCACCAGTCACATTTCTCATTTGACAGATAAAGTTCATCAGAAATTAAGCTCTGGTGACTCAGTTCCTTTGTTAGAGGAAAAACACCCTCAGTTGTTTATTTTCTTTCGAATTGTGGCCCCATGCTGCAGTATGGTAGCATTTGGTTTTCCCTGTTACCTTCATGTAGGGGCAGTCTATGCATGTTCCCTTCACACCTTTGTTACCTCAGGACATCTGGTATGCAGAGGATCATGACTTTTCACTTCTCTTCTGTCAGTCTTTTTCTGCAAAGCAACTCCTTTTCTGCTTGTTCATGGTGTCTTATCCCTGGCTCTGTCTCCAGTTCCTTCTGTGGCCATAGCTAGAGGTGAGGGTCTCCTGCTGTCAGCAGCCCTCGTGGTCCAGGTTGCCCTGCGGCCAGGGCCTGTCCCCACCACTCTGTGCATTCCTCATCCTCCCACAGACTCTTCAACGTGCTGTGCTGCGGAGCTCCACTGGAGTCCCCTCTGTAAGGTTGCTCATTTGCCTATTTACCCACTGCCAGAAGAGAGCGCCAAAGTTTGTTCCCATTTCTTAACTGAGACAGAAGGGAAATTTTGGGAGGAGGATGTGGAGATCCAGCAATGTATCAGTGAAAGGGAAAGAAAGAAGGAATTTTTGGCAGTTATTTCAACTCCTCTGGTTTTCCCCCTTTTTAAGCCAAGATAATGTTTTATGTTTTTCTTTTTCAAGTTCCCGTAAGTTGTTTTGCCAGCATATGTTTAGAACAGAGTCCATTGTAAGCAGTACATTGAAATGTGTCATGATTCTTGAGGCCTCTGGAAGGGTGGGGACCCTTCACCCAAATGACCTTCAGTTTTCAGATGTGAGCCTACTTGTGCAACTTGCCCAAAATAAAATGTGGGTGTGCTCTCTTTATGCTGATCGGTTTTACTCCTTGGTTTTCTTAGCTGAAAGAAAGAAATTAATGTGTCACACTGCCTTCCATATTGAGAAACTCAGAAAAACTGGATCCAGTCTTGCAAGGTGGAATACATCAGATTAATTAGTTTACTCCAACGTCCTGTACATGCAGAAGAACTTCTTTTTTAAAACAGTATAATGAACAGCATGAACTGATACTCCTTTCAAGTATCCTGCCATACATTTCTTTTATACATTATACTCAGAAAACAAACTACTATAGAAAAGTGCAAGAATTGGTTCTCCGTGGCAAAGTGGAGCACATTTTGGGAATCAAATAAAAAGAAGTCGTGTTACAGTAATTTCTCTCTTGACCTGAGTTAATTGCAAATGCTTTTTTCTTCTCCATGTGCTTTTGCATTTCAGAGAAATTATGGACTTGTGCTGACTGATTAAATGAACACTTCCTTTCAGATTTTTTCCATCTGTAACATAATTTATATGACACAGGTCACAATACGCAAAGCAAAAGACAAATAATTTCTAAGGTTGGCCTTCAAATGTGTTGCTTTTGTTATTTTTCTGGTTGTTACTTTTCTTTTGAGCATATTATTGATATTTTCTGTTGCTTGCCTCTAATTATCTTACATTAATTTTTCCCATTTGCTTTCTAAATTATTTTGCAGCTATTCCTCTCCACTCCCCCAGTATGATTCAAGGTGATAACTCTGTGCTTTCTGTGAATCCTTCTTTTCTTTTCTTTTTATTTTTTTAAACTTTTATCCCCACAGAGTGTGTGTAGATGTTTGTAGTGCATCCGCCCACATCCTCATCCCTTCCATGTATTCAAGTAGAAATGCTCATTAGCATTTAGCGTTGTGTTTTAGAGATCATATTCTAGTTTCCATTATTAGTACAACATTAATTTAGGTAAGCATCAGCTACTAATCTTTTTGATAGAAAGTGCATGAAATGCTGTTTGGAATTGTTGTTATTGTTTTAAACAGTGAATTACTAATTTGAAAACTAAACAAAAAAACCAATTAATATGCTGTTGACAATGATTACCTTTAATATGGGAGCAATATGCTTTATGGCTGATCTGCTAAAGTTTTTGTCTTCACTGAAGGCTGCAGTGTGGTATAGACACAAAAGCTGGCTGCAGCAGGCTAGTTCCTGCTGTGGAACATACTCACGTCAAGGGTTAATCTACCTTTGCTGTGAGCAGTGTGCATTAGCAGTGCTAAGCCCCAAGTTGAAAAGGCCGGACTGACCTTGAAGTCTACAGCCTAAATGAACCTGAGAACTTAACATCTAATTTTTATAGGTACTTAGTTTTAACTTCCATTGATTAATTTTTGTATGATGATGATTATTATTATTACTATTATTAACTTAAGTCAGTTGATTTAAGTGCCTAGAGATTTTTGACAATCCACTCTTACATGTTCATCTAAATAGTTTAGATACAGAGACAATATCTTATATTAGTGCAAGCTTTGGCATTTTTGCATTAGATTAAAACTTTACTGTTTTATATTCTGAGCTGGTTTAACATGCCAGTAATCACGTACATGATAGGCAGCTCTCCAAAACGCTGCTTTGTACAGAGCCATAAGACCAAGCTACCCTGAGACCCCTCCTTGCTCTGTGGTGCACAGACCAGATGTGCCTCCCAGGAGATGCTGTACATCAACCCTGAAGGGATGCTCTAGCCAGCCACCCCTCCACCCTGCATGCTTCAGTGTCATCTCAAGTGGCCTGGTTTTCTCTGCAGACAAAAACCATGCACATTTTTAAAAGGTCACGAAAGCACTGGCTGTAACAGATTCCTTTCAGTATTCTCCCTTTGATGACCAAGGGCTATGAGTCCCTGCTTAATATTTTACTTTGCTTTACAGAAAATTTTACTGGATTGTCCTGAACTCTCTTCACAGCTAGTCACGTGCTGGCTACTTGCCAGCTCTGAAGACCAACCATTGGACTACCCTTCTACATGCTCAGTGGCATCCACCTCCTACTATCAGCTTTCACCATTCATGATATAGGGCAGTTGCAGGGAGGAAAAGCAACATGAACACACTGACAGGATAATAGTGCTCAGTGAGCAGAGGGGAGAGGAAACCAAAGGTCCAGGCTCTCTAGAGCTGATGTCTCTGCTTGGTACAGCCTTCTATTAGCAAACAGAAAAGTGTTTCAGTCAACAGATGTTACAGATATCTAAGATCTTGTGATCTATAAATATCAAGATTAACATAATTTATATACTCTATAATTTTCAAACTGATTATACCGGTTTTGACATAGATCTAATATTTCTAGAAAGTGCTTGGCTAGTCACTAAGTGAAGATCCTTTCCCACTAAAGCAATTCCTCTTATTAGGAGCTGGGATACCCTAGCAGCAACATTTGGCTTTATTCAGTAGCGTACAGTGTGTTTATCTAGGAAAGAAATGTGGATACAAATTATTTGTATGAAAACTACTGTGATATATTATGAATTTTAGTCCATGCTTCAGTTCTGTAAAGTGTATGTGGCATAAAGAAATTATAAATTGGGGTTAGGGTTGCGTTAGAGGCCTGTTTTACCTTCCCATTATTCTGTACTGAATAATTTTAATTTGATTTGAAGAAAGGCAATGTAGCAATTTGTTTATCTGGAATTCCACTGGACAACCTTTCTCTCCTGCTTCATATATTTACAGCTTGTGTCCCAACCACTACCAAGTTTTGATTACACTCCTGCTTTTGTGCAGATTTTTCCCACCCATGTCGGCTGGACTTCTAATGCAGGTTATTTGTAAGCCCGGCCAATCCGCGTCAGCTATTACCTTTGATATCCTGCTGGTCTCAAAAGCAAATATAAAAGTCTTACACAAATTCCTATTCATACTTCAGAACACTTGGGGTTTGTTTTTTTTTAAAGATTCTTCATGGCCCCACTGGATTGTTGGCCTTTACCCTTAGATCAGTTTACAGTAAGAAACCAGGAAATTGAATGGATTTACCTGTTATGTGAAGGTTTAGTTCTTAAGATCTGGAAGTTTTGGGAAGAGCCTTGAAAATAGTGAAACCATACAGCAGATGTGCCAGCTATGTCAGCATCTGCATATCATACAGAAGAAGCATACAAACAAAATTACTGGCATCAAGACTCATGTCCCTCTTGATACTGGTCTGTTACTGCATCTTCTACCTGAAGCTATTCTCTCTCAGCAGCTCATGGTACAGAAGAAAAGGGAGGGTATTTTGGAGCACCAGAGGAGACCCACCAGAACTGTTTAGATCTGCAGGAAACTGTATGTTTTGACCCATGCAAATTGGGAAGATTTTTGCTGTGGAGTTTTGAAACAGGCTGAAATCTCGTTTTGGTCCTGGGAGGAGTCTCCACTTCCCTGTCACTGTTCCATTAAAGACAGTAACACTTCACTTATGCAGCTTCTCAGCATTTCATAGCATAAACCATGGCTATTAATGATTATTCTTGTTAATAGTCATTATTCCTTTGCTAATAAAAAGAATTTTATGTTAAAATCTGCCACTCACCATTTACAAATACAACTGCTTACCCTTCTATTTTTAAATGGAAAATTAAACATTGGAATGACACTGACAAACGCAATTTCTTTAATGTCACTTTTTACTACTTTGTGTCATCTTCAAACACAAGTAATGGCATGATTTCCTCCAGAGTGCTAGTAGCCTAAAGAAAGTTACACATTTGGTATTCGCACTTATTCTCCATCAGTGGAAGCCCTTAGTAGCCTGAACTGACTGTCACCCATTGTGCCAGCACTTGCTCTGTCAACCATCAGGATTGTTTACAAATGAGAGTGTGAGGAGGTTTTAAAGACTGAGATCCTAGAAATAATAAGCATTTTTGATTCTCCTTTTTCTACACTGTCTGGTTCCTTTCTGCATGTGAGGGTAATTACTCCTGTCTATGGACAGTAGAGCTAACACCAACACAGGGATGTTTTTAAATTCTAATAAACCACTACTAATAACTGTGTACTCTTTTAATCCAAATTGCTCAGTAGCACCTACTCATTTCACCATGGTGTTCATAGACCTTTAACAGTTCCTGCTTTTGATAACCAATAGTTAACATGTAAGTATAAGTTTTAAAAGAATCTTCATGTTCTTTTTAGTTTAGCTGGGATCGGGAGGACTTCTAATAATGTTTTAAAGACTAGTGGTTAACTTTTTGATGATTTGTTTGTTTTGTGACCATTTTCATTGACATGTTCCCTTTTTCCTGCAGTTTCCTGGTTAGTTTTATGGTTGATGCACGTGGAGGTTCAATGAGGGGCAGTCGCCACCATGGAATGAGAATAATTATCCCACCACGCAAGTGTACAGCACCAACCCGCATCACCTGCCGCTTGGTAAAGAGGCATAAGCTGGCCAGCCCACCACCGATGGTTGAAGGAGAAGGATTAGCAAGTAGACTTGTAGAAATGGGGCCAGCAGGGGCACAATTTTTAGGGTGAGTTGTTCTATGAATTTCATTGTTTACACTCATGTTGCATCTTTCATTTCCTTTATCATATGGATTTAAGTAGTTAAACGTTGACTTTACCACATTTGAGCATGTAAGATAGGCTTCTTAACTTGAAATATGAAAAAATACCAACCTGACATTCCTTCCAGAAAGTACCCTTGTATTTTAAGGGGAGCTTTGCCTCTATAGTGGCTGCAGAATGGAGCTGAAGGTAAGAAAAGCCATGAAAAGGCCAGGTCCTGTCCCCATCTACATATACAACCTGCCTTTGAAATCAGGAGGAGTCACATGCCTAAAACTGAGAATAGGTTTTGACCCTCTTGCTTGTAGAGTATCAGAGAAACATCACAAAAAAGTGTCCTAGGGTCACCCACAAGGACCTAAATGTTAAGCTGTGTTCCCTGTGCTGTGGCTCATGCACGGCTCCTGCCAGAATTGCTGGGAGCTGCCTGTCTCCAACCCATGGAGCAAAGCCACCGAGAGCAATGGTGGAGCATTAACTGTAGAGCATCAAGTAGTTCACTAGGAACTGACCTTTTTAAGCTTAAAATAAGGGAAACAATCCACTATGATGTGGCGCTTTTTTTCCTAATTATAAATTTTGTTCGTTACCATGAGTGGCACCCTGGTGTAAACTGCTGGTTCTGTCGGGAATGACAGCTTGTTCCTAATTTCCCCTTCTCGTTTCTCTTCCTGCTGCATGGATGTTATTCAGTAAACTGCATCTTCCTAAAACTCCTCCCCCTCTAAATGAGGGCGAGAGCATGGTTAGCCGAATCCTGCAGCTTGGTCCACAAGGAACAAAATTTATTGGGTAGGATATGTACGGAAAAGATACAGAATGTCTACAGTTTTTCTTTTGTTTCCAATTTTTTGTTATTCCCATTTTATTTTTCTTTAAGTTTTCTAAAGCTTTCAGTTGATTTATGTCACTGAAAGAAAATCATAGTGGCTTGATTTAATATAGCTCTGCTACTACCTTGTGCTTATAGGCATGTAAAATTCACTGCCAGCATTCTGCTTTCATAACTTCTGTGCTGTTGTAATCTTTTAAATTTAAAGTGTTTCAACTGCATCAAATACATTTTAATACACAGTGACAGTCCTTTAATTTCAACCCTGTGGTAGAGAAGGTATTTACAGGCCTTGAGTCAGCCTGTTTTAGGAAGAGCATTTGTAAAATGAAATTGCATTAAGTCTGTTATTTATGAAAGATTATTTAGAAAAAATGTCATTGAGTGAATGAATTTATTCAACAAAGTTGAAGAAATACTAATCTTTTCAACCTGCAAGAGGCATCTTATTAAAATAAATTTATAAAGCCAAGTATGCTACCCAGAGAAACTGCGGTGTGTAGTCTAAAAATGTAAGAATGTTTTCATATATTTTTTGCTGTTATTTTCAAACCATATTGTGAAATTTATTGCATTAGGTTTTCAAAATATTGGTGAGTGTTTGGCATTCCAAACCTGTTCAATACCTTCTCGCTTGAGTATTCTTGTTAAATGTCATGCACAAAATTGTGTGGTTTCTGAATATTTACAGAGACAGTATCTGAAATATTAGCCTGCAAAGATTGTACTATAGTGTTAGTTTTCAGTTTGTACTCTTGTTGAACTAGAGAGTAAATATCTAAAGCAATATATTTAAATTTTTGGTATTTACTTACTGTGCACAATGGAAGACAGCAGCTACATTCCTTTCTTGTTAAAGGACTTATAGTTAAGATTAATACAGCCTGGATGTTATTAAAAGCACCTAAAATACGTCTTTTTTCTATTTTCATGGGAAAAAATACTGTCTTACTCTTTCCCCTTTCACTGAATGTGAAAACTGGACTTGCAACTAGTTTATGTTTTTCCTCATGATGGCTGTTGTGATTTCCATGCTCAAGTAATTGATTGGTTAATGCACCCAACACCTTGCGGGTGTCTAGTGCCATAGAAGTGCTGCATATTTCTCCCATCATGTCATGCTACTTCTAACTGAGTTATTTCAGTGCAGTGAAATCCTTTACAACCTCTGTAGGAAAATAATGATACTGTCTATTTAAATGTCTTAAAGCTGCATAATTGTTCACTTACTGTGTGATTTCAGTCGGTTTGTCTTAACATACTTTAAAATGCATATCCTGCCTGTGAAGTGTTTGGCAAAAGTGTCTGTTTTGTTAAGGAATGGCACATGAAGTGAATGGTGGTTTCTGTTGGTTGTTCACAATAACTGTTCAGTAATGCACTTGCAGTCCTCTGTTGAAGGTACATTGTCTGGTGATGTAGGTGTATTATTAACCACCTTCTCATTCCCTTTCCTTTCCCCAAAAATGTTTGACAGTAACTAATATGAATGTGGTTGTGATGTTGCTTAACTTGAAGAAATCCATTATGAAAGGATCTAAACATTGGCCAGTGGTGTTTACATTGCAGATGTTGCAGCTGTGATTTTGGGCATGAGAACCAGAAAGCGAAGCTAATGAGAAACAACCCCTTGTGTTTCACAGGAGCTGCATCAACAGAGAGCCAGGGAGAGCTTTGAAAAGTTTGCGACTTAGTTTGAAGTTTAAAACCTACATGCATGCGCAGTTCCGGCTGCAGTCAATAGCTATTGCATGCATTTGGATAGCTGGACTGGCTTTGCCCCTTCCAATCCCTTGAGCCAAATCTGAATTTTGACTATGCTAATGCCAGTTAAAAGTCAGCAGTCCTGTGTATGCTAGAGGCAGGTTGGATCACCTACATCCTGGGATAAATGAGCAGGGAGAACACTCCTTAGCGAATGTTGTATCTATTTTTCTGTGGAGGCAGCTGTTTCAGTTTTTCATATTAAAAATGAGCTATATATATATTAATATTTTCAAGTTATCTATTAATTATAGTTTAAATGATAAAGGATTGTGTAGCTTTGGCAATTTTACAAAACATTTTGATCATAACAGTGTTAACTATTTAAAATGACTAGTTTTCTTAAGGACTTAATGTTCATAGGAAATCAAGGGCAATGAGGAGATATGGGATTAAAAATAATACAATTCCTTTTTCTCTAGCCCTGTCATAGTGGAAATCCCGCATTTTGGGTCAATGCGAGGAAAGGAAAGAGAACTAATCGTACTTCGAAGTGAAAATGGTGAAACGTGGAAGGAGCACCAGTATGACAGCAAACACGAAGACTTAACCGAAATACTCAATGGCATGGATGAAGGTAAACATTTTCTCAAAGCTTTAGCATGCCTTACCTTTGGGCAGGCTTGCTAACATGAGCAGACCAAAGCACCCTAAAGTAAAACAGGGCAGGAGATATCTGACTTTAGGGAATGCAGTGTGCAGTACATATTGAACTAACAGAAAGAGTGTAAAGAGAAATTGTTCAGCGGTGGCCTGGAGACATCCTGAAATGAGTGGTAAGTTTTGGTCTGAAGTCTTGCCAAGTTTAAGCAAAGTTACACAGTTGCTTTACAGCATGAAGTTGAGAACAGCATCCCAGCTGGAGGTAAGCATGTTTCTGCTGCTCAGGCGGGGCCTCACGAAGGTCATTCTGAAACAACGAAGTGTAAATACCAGTTAAATTAGACTTTCCCACAGATACAGGCCTCAGCATATAGGTCATTCTTCTTTGAAATGGTATTTTTAGAGGCTGTCTTCCACAAATACTCAATCTGTCTTCCCGATTCCTACCTGGGAAGTCTGGCTTCCTTGTTTTGCTTGGACATTGCTGTTTATGTAAAAATCCCTTTAGATGAGTGGACTCAGGTTTACACAATTCATCAGAATTTGCTGTGACAGATGGTCCCTGCAGACACATTATGGGCAAAGCCAGGCTAGGGCTGCAGTGATCCATTGGCACCACTGCTTTCTTTTCCTAGCAAGTATTTTTCAATACTTGTTCTGATAAACCGTTGCTTGAGCTCTGTACATCTTATTGTGAATGAAAATAGCTTATGGTTTGAATTTTGCTTCTCTGTAAGGGCTTATCTGTAGGATTTTCTCTCCTAGGAAATTCACAGTGTGGTGGGGTACAACCAGGAGGAAAGATCTTGGCAGCAAAAAGTTAATTAGCAGCAAATCATTTGAAGCAAATGATGAGGCTGCGGATGGAAGCTATGAGAGGTATCTGTGCACAGGCTGTGCCTTTGATCTTGACCTCTCCTTATTCAAAGAGGAGCAAAAGGCATGCTTTGGAAACATGGAGAGTTAGCGGTGTTGTGAGGGACTCGCGGGATGTCTGAGATTTTGCATTTTTACTGATTTCCTGGTCATCTGGGAATGAGAACAGCAGGATGGGCTCATGTAGTATTTTCACTTCAAAGTACTTGAACTGCATGTGAGCTTGTAAAAATGCAGAGCAAGAGCAAAGATCTGCTTGTTACATGATGATCTATTGTAGCTATTTATTTTTAAATAAATACAAAAAAACAATCAAGCAGGAGGGCAGAAACGCTGCAAATGTTGGATCACTGGGTTTGGAAAAATACAATAAAGCTCATCACAGAAGGGTACCTGAAAGCATTGGAACAGGCAAAAGAGTGAGCATGGCCCAGGATACTATTGCTTGGGAAAGAATTGCTTCATGATTGAAGACAGTAGTTGCAGCCTTTCTGAAAGAAAAATCTCACCAGCAACCCCTCCTTCTCTGTGCACTAACGTAAGACAGAAAGTTATGATTTGGCATTTGGGTGAAGTATTGGTGCCTTGTCAGTGGTGAAGTAGTCAGAACTGATCAGCAGTTTGCTTATTTGCTTCATGTGCTTTCCAAACTGAGCATAGTTTCATTTTGAGGTAGGGAATCTGGGCACAAAACCACTGTTCTAAAGTGCTCCAACGTGCGTCACTTATGAAAGAGCTCTCCAGAGGTGCCATATGGATAAATTCACATTTTACAGAGAAGAGAGCACAATAAATAAAAACACTTTGAGAGAGGTGGGCATGAAGCTCTCAGTACTGAGAGCCTAAAATAATAAGCTTCACGATTTGGAACCAGAGTACAACTTTCTGGTCTGTTGAGGATTTCAGGTGGCTCTTCTCTTCTGAGGAAGTGCTGTTAGTGGGTATATGAACAACCAGTGAATCACAGAAAGCACGATGGACACTGGCCTATTCCCTTAGGCTGAAAATATTTGGCACCTTAAAAGCCAAGCCCCAGAAATGCCTTTTACCAATCCAGACAATCATTTATGAGAGGGAAAAGAAAAAAAAAATACTGCAGGCACACCCAGAGCATTGTATTGATTATTTGTTCAGTTCATTTTAGCTTAATCCTTCTTTCCTAGTTAGAAAAATAAAATGAAAAAGTCCCCTGCATTCACATAGTACAAGGTTCTTGACAAAATTCTGCTCTAGTTAAATGACTCCTTTTCTATGTAAAAGGTCTTCCAAGCAATGAGCAATGAGATAAAAAATACGAATTTGTAGAATTAAGAGCAGGTTGGTTTTATTTTCCTCTGAACTTTTACTGTTTTGTTACAAACTACCCCAGTTAGATTTGGCTCTGAAGGAGTCTCTTGCATCACAGAAGCCGTAACTTTGGAATTTTTTTTTCCAGGTATGAACTCTGGAGGCAGAATCAATCTTTATTTGAATAAAAAGCAGCCACATAGTCATTTCCAGCAGTTTGGTTTGTCTTTGCAAGAAAATTAATCTGCTCAGTCATCTCTAAATGCCATAACATGCTGCAGGTGTGGTTGTTTTTCTTTTGTAAGCTGCTGGTCCATTTTGTGATAGACCTGCTGTGATAATTCTTTTCTATCTGTGTAGTGAAGGAGGCCAATCAGACTTTTATTCCCAGCTCTGTAATATGCTGAATTTTTAAAGATGCAGTTTGCTGCTTTGTTTTGTTTTTCCTGTCTTGCTCTTCCGCTTAGCTAGAGGGGATGCGACATCCTTGCTCCTCACCCTGCATGGGGACTGCTGAAAACCTGCCTGTTCTTTACTGGAAGCAGCACCATCTGCTGGAAAAACTCATCTCAGACTCAATGCAGAGCAGGAGGCAACACTTCAGGGCATTAAACGCAGGATTAAATAAGAGCAGAACATGGCTTCTATTAACATGAAAGAACAATGAACCATGATGTGAAGAGACAGTTTTTGTGTAGTGCCATCAGGTCTCTGCTTAAATATTTTTGATTATAAAGAGGGTGCTGCGTTTAGGCAAATAACAGTGCTGAGGGAATACAGGGAACTTGGCAATTTTAGGAAGAGGAGGAGTTTGGTTCCAAACACAAAGGTAGCAATTCACAGCTTCAGCCATATTACGTTTATTCAAATTTGAATCAATTTAAAAAAAAAAAAAGGTTTTTTTTTTTTGTTTTGTTTTTTTTTTTTAAGAAGTTCTAGTTATGGGTGAATAGGTTACATTTTCAGACAGGCTTCTTTTAGATATAACTTGTGTTTGCTTTTAACATTCCTGTCCCCTTTACAGGTACCTGCAGACAAATTGTGGGCAAAAATGCATGCACTGAGTAGTTAACCTTTTGAGAAGCATTTGCAAACTAGTGAGTGAGCCAGGAAATGCAAATATTTGTGGCTACAATATGCTTGCAGCTGCACAATGTGGTTTCAGATGGGAAGCAGGAGTTTTTACATAACTACTTCTTTGAACCTACAGATCAAACCAGAGTGTGACATTGCTTATGCTTGAAGTTTAAAATGCCACTATAAATCACTCTGCAGTGATTTTGCCACAGTTCCAAGAAAATTTTTTAAACATATTGCTGTGAAACTCTATGTTGTGAATGTCAAGATAAGCAGCTGCATAAAAATAGCCATAAAGGGACATTGCATTAATTGAAGATGAGACCTTGTGGCACCGGAAGCATCTAGTTACGTGTGTGAAATACTGAAGCTGGGAGGGTGGGCTGAGTTACTGACATTTTAAAAACAAGTCTCACTGCCCTCAGCTGCTCCTTGCTCCTTCCCATGTGCTCCTTCTGCCTCCATCTATGTCCGGTACTTTTCTCCATCTGTGCACTACCTCCTAGGTGCCCCACTTCTGGTGCAACAATTTCTTAATGGGCACACCTGTGTATGGGGGAAACTGGTATCCTATGCTCATCCCACCTTTCAGTCTGTGTACAGTGACAAGGTCGGCTTGTCTCTAGCCAGTACTGCCAGAGGGTCACAAAACCAAGAGCTGTTCAGTCTGCTAAGGATAGGTGAGATTTTCTTTCTCAGTGCTAGCAAAACTCTTTTAAGGCCCTGGTAAGGGAAATTAGATTCCAGATCACACAAAACCACCTTGAAGCTCATGAAATAGCCAGGTGTTCTGTGACTTCTCTTACACTATTTCCAGTCAGAAGATATTTGTTCCGTGTTACCTTATCTGAAAAAAGAAAGGTATTAGACATGTGATGAATCTGTTCCACAACTGCCTCTCACCTGACAAAACTGATGTGATTGCTTTCCTTGACCTGAGCCACCCTATGTGAGGTCCCTCACTGACCTTGGAGGACATGGCTGGGTTTCTCTTCTCCTGTCCAGGAACCTTAATGTAACACTCATACGACAGCATGGACTAGAGAGTGAGCAGGGTTGATCTTCCCTCCTTTCCTTCTCTGCACCTCATCTCTCCTCCATCACTCCCACCAGCCACCTTAGGATAAGTGTACCTTACACTTGGGTGGCAGGGAAAGACACATATACAAAATATTCACAATACCTTTCTTTTGACTTACTAAAACTTACAGACCTTAGATGTTCTTTGGGCTGTTAGCACAAATCTGGGAGACACTAATACGGGGAGATTCTTCCCAATTCTGCCACTAGCCTTTCTGCTTTACCTCTCTCTGCTTTGCCATCCCTTTCTGTAAGGTGAGCTGTATAGCTGCTTTTCTGTGGTTAAAAATCCCCCACACAAAATCCAACCAACCAACCAAAGAATCCTTCGAGGTTTTTAATTAAAACACACGTGTAGGAATGAAGTGTCAGCAACTGAGAGAAATAGTAATGATGATAGCTTTTTCTGTAAAATGCATGAGGTGTGTTCGGGAAATGTGACCTCTTCGAGAGCTAGTCTTCTCTGTTCCATTAACTCTTGTCATGCTCACGCTGCATTTCTCAGTGCGGTCAGAGAGGTGTTTGGTTGCTTATCATCTTTTTTTTTTTTTATCCTGTTAGAGGACAGCTTCACACAGAAGCTCACATGTGTGTTATCCAAACATAACCTCACTCTGTACAGTCAAACTCCTCTCCATGCCCCTCTAATCTTCTCATCTTCCTCCTTAAAAGGAGAGCACCTGCCAGGCTCAGAGGATTTTGAAATGTTCTTACATAAACTGCTAATTTTCTACTTCAAGAGAGTTCTAATTATCCTTCATGTCTGTGAGCATTTTACAGTAGGTTTAGTCTCTAGCAACCAACAGGAGAATACATAGGATTTACCAGTCAAGATTATACCTGCCTGGTACTTTAAGTATCCAGTTTGTCTCCTGCACAAGCCATTGTTTCTAGAGACTGCAGGCAGAATACCTCATTTATTAGAGAACTTCAGATATCAGTCTCTGAGTCAAAGTAAATGGAACCTAACTTTATGATAAGAAATTACGCTCTTTTGGTAGGTACATAGTATCCAGAGCAACACTGTGCAATTAATCCAAATTACCTGCTGAAAGTTTTAAAATGGAAAACTGACATTTTACCAAATTTATATTCTAGTTATTTTGGAGCTGTAATTGAGCTTACATGTTCAGAGGAGGAAAATGTCTCAATTACATAAAGTAAAGAATTTTACAAGTGTCTTTTGTCTTGGTACCATTTCTGGTCCTCTTGCTGCATCTGATAGAATTGTCATCTTTCCAGGAACATTCTTCTTTAGGAATGTGGTAGCTTTTTTAAGGAGGCAAGTAAGCATAGAAACTTGTAGACTGCTGGAATGAAACCCAGTTACAATAGCTAAGAAGATGAAGTGCAGGAAATTATAGGAGAAATGCATAACAGTTGTGTAATTATATTGATTTGTAAATAGTGTTTATATCACAGGGGTTTCTCTAGTGCATATATACATACATATTTAGTCATATTTGTGATATATCACAGTTTTTCTCAGTGCATGTATGCCTGTGTCATCTACTTACTGGTTTGTTAATATGTATGGATACTCCATGCACCTCTCTGAGCCCCGGTGACCAAACAAGCTGCAAATGTGGCTGAGAGCACTAATTGTTGATGACCTGTTTCTGTTCCAATTAGGTTTCTCTATAAACTGAGGGCCATAATACAGTTATTTTGGGGCAGGTATCTGAATGCCTGAAAGCCTGATGTGGGAAGGGATCCTTGCTATGGTTTCACTAGTATTGCTGGCAGACAGAGCTCTGTCACATCCACCGTTTACTGGACAGCTCAGTGTCTGGTCATGATTATATGGATGCCAGTCTGGGAGATAACTTTCTCAAGTGCCTTAGCTGGGCAAACTCTGGATTGCACACTTGGCGTGAAGTTAGATAGTTCAAGACTATGCTTTCCTATGGTTTTCTGTATGTTGGAGCTCTCTGTCACACCCTAGTGCTCAGGTGTCCTGGCAGATATGTGGGTCCAGGGCTTTGGCCCTCATCATCAAGACTTATGCAAAAGTTCAGAGAGCAAACAAAATCTTGATAATGGATAGGAGTGAATATTTTTTTTTTCTCCTGTAGTAAATAAAAAATAACTTCTCAGGCATTTTAGACATTTTCAGAAGCTCACACTCACAAATGTGTGTGGTATGGACCTGGGCAGGTAATGCCTGAATGTTTTGATTGTCTTGTCCCACCAGAGCTGGACAGCGTTGAGGAGCTAGAGAAGAAGCGTATCTGCAGGATCGTCACAAAGGATTTTCCTCAGTACTTCGCGGTAGTTTCACGAATCAAACAGGAGAGTAACCAGATCGGCCCAGAGGGTGGAGTGCTGAGCAGCACGACGGTGCCACGTGTCCAGGCATCCTTCCCCGAGGGTGCTCTAACCAAAAGAATCCGCGTGGGGCTCCAGGTAAAGATGTGTTTGTGTTTGTATCAGCCGCATCTACAAGTGGTCTTAATGAGGCCAGCAATTAAAGAGCCTGCTGTTCCTTAGCAGTGGGTGGCAAGGTGGGCAGTGTTCCTTCATATTTGAGTTCTGGCGTATGTCTGCCTGGGCACGCTTTCTGGCTCTCATGTGCCCCCATGGTGCAGGTGATGCACAGTCCTCCTCCCAGTGGCAAAAGCCCAGCTACCCTTTTTATCATTACCTTAAGTATTGTTTAGCATCTGAAGAATGGGAAGAAAAGCAAAGACACACACCACAGCCTCAGTGATATTGTCTGCCATCTTTCTGTTGGCCTCAGCTGCCAGCAGCTATGAGCTTCACAACCGCTGTACAGTTTCAGTCTCCTACAGCGAAGTAGCAGCTTGTAATTATTGTCACTGGGCTGCCCTTTGCCATAGGAATGTGTTTGGTAAGGATTTCATGCAGCTCTTTGCCAGCTGTTACTGGGTCCAAGACCTCCCGTATACATCTGTTATAGCTTAGGACATTCACCACTGGTGTTTCTAGTGATGGATGAAATCTGGGAAGAGCAAATAGCTTAAACTCTCCTTAAACAAATTGCACAGAAAGTGGAGAAATATTCCATAAGAGGTATCTTATTCTTTAAGTTCTGTTAATTATCACTTAGAATTATTTAATAACCTTACATTTCTGATGGCTTCATGAAATAGGGATGCTGGTTTGGATTCCAGTGCTTGGAATTCACACTGGAACATTTCTGTTAGTGATATTTCACATCTAAAGATTATTTTCTTGAGAAAATGGAAGTTTTGCTCTTCTGCTAGTATTTTGGTCGTACAGCTGCCTTTCCAGAGCTTTGTAGTGTGAAGGAAGCACGATGTCTCATATGCAGTGTTGTCACTGCTGAGATTGCATTGTATCTACGTAACTTATGCACAACAATACTTTGCGCAGTTCAAACAATGCGGCAAGTCACAGGTCAGCCTGATTGAAACAGATTTGAGAGATTGGAAAAAGGGGGTGAGCAGGGAGGGCAAACAGATGCAAAACCCTGTGTCCCATAAGATGTCCATCACTTCTGAGTTCAGATCTTACGTGACAAAAACTGCAAAAATTCTATAGCATTTCTTCGTGTATTGGCTGTTTTTCCTTTCTTCCCGTATAAAGTTAGGAAAGCCTTCAAGGCACAGAATGGAGGTAGAAGGTCTGACATTTGCTTATAACTCTGTATCTTAATTCATTCTGTATTAATTTGAGCCAAACAAGTATTCATTTCCTAACAACCAATATTGGAATAGTATTGGAAGCACTGAACACAGAGCTAAGTCAGAGTACACAGTTTTCCTCGGGAGCATGGATTTGTGTTTGGCAGACAAGGACTGTTCAGCATCTCCAAGACAGTGTCTAGTCCTTACTTTTCAAGTGCAAAATAGGCCTCTTTTTGCATTTTGAAATTGTATTTGATATCACCAACCACTGTAAATTAAAAACAAACCCAAATATGCTATGAAAAACTCAGCAAATACTGCACGCAACCTTCTGAGGTTTACAGTTTTACTCTACAAGTTAGCTATTAGGAAATCGTAAGTGAGTGTTGAGAAATACGAAGCATAAATTGTACTAATAATCATCCTTGAGAACTATAGAAGAAGGCTGCCTGGGGAAAAAAAAGGTCTACAGAAAATAAAAGGAAAATTGAATTATCTTTTGGAAAACAGTTCTCTGCAGGTTTATAACCAATTTGTAGCCCTAGGTTAAATACTTTTCCTGTGTTTACAGGCTCAACCGGTTCCAGAGGAGATTGTCAAAAAAATCCTTGGAAACAAAGCAACTTTCAGTCCCATTGTCACTGTGGAGCCAAGAAGAAGAAAATTTCATAAGCCAATAACCATGACAATTCCTGTGCCACCTCCATCAGGAGAAGGTGTAACCAATGGGTACAAAGGAGACATGACACCCAGCCTTCGACTCTTATGTAGCATTACAGGTTGGAGAAAATCATACATTTTGCAAAAGTTTCTGTGACAGCAGTGCCACTGTACTCGCTCATGCTTTCCAGTAAGGAAACGCTGGTGTGCTTGGTGCAGTAGAGTTCAGAGTGCTCTCCTGAGCAAAGCCAGCTGAGGTCATTTGAAAGGGCATCACTGATGCCTTGGGCTTTGAATCTGCTCTCATGCCATTGTAAAAGAACTCTGCCAACAGATATTAAATGCTATTTTATATTTAGCCCATATAAAGAATTTCAGCCTTGGCTGTTAAACATGGTTGTCAGTAAAAGTAGTTGGCAGAAATAATTCTGTCCTAGCTGATATCGGGGGGG